ACTCAGCCAACCTGACCAAGACCGCTTGGAGAGGTAGCCAGGAACGACAATGGACACAATTCATCTCCACCGCCTTTTCTACATGCAGATGAATAGCTCCCAAAGGATTACCTTGTGATTAAAATAGCGTCAACCTTTCTACCCAAATCTTCTCTGAGTAGAGGAAATTTGAGTTGACATTAGGACGGTGCTTTGGAATCTGAGATTCTCTACATTTGGTTCTCTAGGTCTTTCGGAGTAAAATGGGAATGAAATATACTTAGTCATTTATTTCAGGTCTTAGAAGACTTGTTTAAGGATCACGTTTTAAATGTGCTGAGTAAGCCAAATGTAAGGCAATGGATATGAGGGAATTTATGGGAAGGAATCTACTTTAAATGAATTGAGTTATTTTTTTTAATTCTTTAGATTAGATAGAAAATAATAGTTCAGGCTTCAGAATCAGGGTAATCTGAATCCTGTGGTTTTTTGTTTTTAATGGAAAGGCTGATGATTAATTTGGACTCCCGTAATGTATATATTGATGAGCAATTCTTGGTCCTGAGATTTGAACCATGTCTGAGTTGCACCTTGAAAGACTCATAGATGGAAGAATGTTTAATGCCCTTTGTGTACAATCTTATGTGGGTTTTGTAACAACAGAGTGCAAATTCACCTCTAGATGAAAAATTAATTTTCTAGTCTACAGTTTCCTCCAAAAGTAACCCATGGCTTCTTTCTTCCTGCAGACAAAACTGTGTAGAGTTTGATCCCCTCATAATGGTTACATTTTGGCTAGCAGTGTCATATTTCAACCAAGGTAATTAAAATATATAGTCAACTCTTTTCTAATGATGACTCTGGTATTTAGAACTATGTGCAACCATATCCTTACTGAATGTAGAAATTATTTTTAATAAAATAATGTCTATGTCAGAGACAACTGCATGCAAATGTGCTAATTTTAGTTTAAATTCAATATATATGTGCATTTAAATTTAATATATTTAATATTTAAATATATATTGCTGCTTTAAATAAGAATTGACTTGATGCCAGTGGTTCTGTTTCTTTTTCATCATATTTACGTATATTTATATATATTTGGAACAAATTCTATATTTCATACTCAGATTTGAAAAGTCATGCGTGTACGTAGTGTGTGTGTGTGTGTG